GGGGGGGGGGGTCGGAAAAAAACCCCTGAGATGATCAGGGGGGCTTCAAAAAAATGAAAGGAAAAAATAAGGAAATGATCATAGCCCACCCTCTAGATAAATTATGAATGCTCCCTTGGTTAATTCATGTGTTCTGTGCAGTCCAGTGGCACAAATGGTACAACTTGTGTCAAACAGCAGTTTATCTTTCGTATTAATCAACCACAGAGACATTAGTGTCATTAGTAAGCGTGGATATTTTGTTGCTCTTCAAGTTTGTCTGAAAGGACCATTTAGAGACTGGTTTGTCGCAGTTGATTTTATAAATACACGCCGTAACGTCATGAATGACTTTGACCTGCGCCATTACAGAGGTCTCGCCTCGATCAGGTGGCGCTGCCTCGATCGAGTGCTGGCGCGCTATTTTTAGTACTTCATGTTACCTCCACGTACATAGTGCCCATGATGAACCGATGACTGGTCAAACGGTTTGTTTTACACTTATATATTTTTCATTTATATCTAATCATCAACAAAAATACAGAAAAGGACATGTATTTAGTAATCCAAGAACGTTTCTCATCAAACATCTGATATGTTACAATTTTTAGCGAATATCCCGTATCCCTGTAACTACTTCTCAATATCCTGTATCCCAATAACTTTTTCCTCAAATATCCCGTATCCCGGTAATTTTTTCCGCGAATATCCCGTATCCCGAAAACCCCTAATGGGGCCTCAAAAATTTAAGTTCGTTACTCATTTTCGACGGCAATATTTAACATGTGGTATAACTCCAAATTCTCTTCTTGTTATTTTTAAAAATCACACATTTAGACATTCATTTAAAACATACCTGGGAATTGGCTTGGGTAAGTGAAGGAAATCTCTTTAAGACAGTACCATCGAAGTTCAGGAATTTTCATGGTAGGCTGGCGGTAATTATCTTTATTGTGTAAACACTAAACGCACATAAATAGATATTTACAGCCTAAAGGCTCGTTTTTCGTACGTCTTGTAGGTTTTCCCTTTGCAAAATTACTTTTTTCAATCAAAGAATGGGATAAAAAGGTGAAACTCGGTCAATTTTAGCCATTTTGAAACACTGAACTTTACCTGCCGGCGACTCTTCGTGACAGTCTGTTCCGTGACTGCACGTGGCACAACGTACGTTTAAGAGACGGAGCTGTCAAAATGAAAGTCACCAAATCAAGGTAGTAACGCAACGTAATTCTTGATCGAAGGAGTAACATTTTCGGTCCCGACAGTATTTTGAAGAAGCAAAAAATCAAACGCACAAGTATTCTGGTACTCACTTTCTATCGAAAAATAAGGACTTTAATAATCTCGTACCCAGATCTCCCTCTGTTTTACACTTGGCCGTGGGAGATCTGGGTACGAGATTAGGACTTTAACAATGGTAATTCGTTAAGAAGATATTTCGTCTTGTTACTTCACAATCGAGGAAACTAAGTTATTTTGGTCACGCCTCACTATATTTACCGGACTTCAATGTTTTCGTTTGGAGGCTGCCTTCAGGAACCCTAGCCAATTCTCAGGTATGGTTTAGATAAATGTCTAAATGCGTGAAGCTCCCTCAAATTGGCGCCAAAAAAGGCGCGGCAATGACGCGCGCATGCCTTTTAGTTTAATTTATTTCTTTGCGCCAATTTCCATATTTTGCATTCCGCATAATTATGTCATTCCGCAAGCCATGCCACATGCCATTCCGCAACTCATTCCGCCTTTACCCTCACCGAAACCCGTGTAATTGGAGTAATCGTGATAGAAAATTTGATCTGTGCATAAAGGGATGCTTAGTAACAACAAAATCTGCAAGTTATGCAATTCCGACACGTTGAAAATTGGAGCCAGCATCTTCTATTTGGTCATTTTAAATTCATGTTTTTTTTCTCTCAAATTAGTGACTAAAATGGCTGGATTGCATTGCACTGCGACCAGGAAAGCCGTAAACACTTGAAATATCTCAGGAATGTTTATTGTGTTATGACCAATCACAGCAAAGATCAAGACAAGCCCCGGGAAAGCCAAAATAATAATTCTTTCTTCCCGGAATAAGTTAAAGAATAAATCAAAGAAACCTAAGTGATCTCGAGATCATCACTCTCGAACTAATTCGACTCTCACTTTGTCAAATACCCGAATAAAACCGAAAACCTACAGACTTTGGGTGCCTAATCGTGTCCCCAAAAAGCAACTTTGGGACTTTCCTGAGCGTCGCTAATCCTTTAAATTACTTCGCGCTCCGCCGAACTGATTAAGTGTAACACTGTAAAAATAGCAATAAACCTTTTAATAATATACACGAAAAAATTACTTAATTCTGATTGGCTGAGAAAGGAGTGCAGCTCTTCTGTAACACGAGTGCAAAATGTGTAACACGACTGCAAACTTGTAACACGAGTGCAAATTACAAATGCTTTCTGATTGGCTGAAAACACAAAAGAAACCAACAAGAACCAATCAGATTAGAGATGTTTTAACAACAAAAATTCAAGAAAATGGCCATGGTTTTCAGCAGATGACGGCGGGATTTAATTTTGTAAGCAAAACAGCAATAGAAAAGTTAAAAAAATATTCCAAAAACCCGAACACAGTAAAAAATACGTCTTTCTGGCTAAATGTATTGAAAATGCGTTGCTAAGGGAAAAATACTGTCAACAAAATCGAGGAAAATGAGCCAGAGAAACTAGAAAACAAGCTACTTATAACAGACTACGCTAAAGTAAAAAAATAAAGAACAAAAACGGTTGCAACCACACACAAACCAGAATGAACAAGGATACAATTCCATGATAACAACAGGGATTTCAAGTCATGTACGTAATTTGTTGCTCTCTTTGAGTCTTGTGGAGCGAAGACCTCTATTAAAACATCCATGCGATGGTCTGTGTTTTTTTCTACCTCAGTAGCAAACGAAACCGAAAATTTAAACATCTGGGCCAAACTAAACCAATGGGCGAAAATACCACAACTCACATAATGAAAGTATCCGCAGCTGGTACTAGCCTTAAAGAAAGTGAGAAAAAAGTTTACGAATCATTGTACAAGAAAAACAACAGTCAGGATGCTGAAGAAGCAAAGATTGTAAGTTCAGAACATATCGTCAGTGTCACAGGCCACACGATGAAGCCGACGAAGAAGAGCTACGATGACTCTTGCAGTAGGCCAAATAAGATAATGGACACTCCAGCGCTGATATAAAGCAAATATTATATTAATACTGGCAGTTTCCGACATCACAACAAATGTGGCTCTACTCACCCATCGATGGCAGCGTCGAAGGAAAACAAATTGCCTCCTTCATTTTTGGGTTTTAAATCTCAAACATTTGTCCATGAATCCGGCTATGATAAGGTCCCAGGAACAGACAATGATAAACAGTCGTTAAAAAACCTTAGATTTTGAAAGCATTGGTCTTGAAAAAGTTTGAATTTGACAAAGGTAATAGTCTGTTTCAGCCAATCAGTTGAATGAACTGAAAACGCGCGCGCTGTCAAAATTTGTTGTTGTAGTTATGTTTTTCGTGTATATCATTAATAAGTAATCACATGATTTTTCTCGTGCAATTTGGAATAAATAAGCACTTGTAAATTTTTCAAAGACCACAAAGTGCACTCGCCCGACGGGCTCGTGCACTTTTGTTGGTCTTTGAAAAATTTACTCGTGCTTATTTATTCCAAATTGCACTCGAAATCATGTGATTAGCTATACTTATTGGAACAATGATGCTAATTTTGAAAAACACGCTTGCCAAAACTTGGTTTCCGTGGTAACATGAATGCTGACGTACACGTAGAGATGACTTTCAAATGTTCCCAGATAAATTTTAGACTGAAAGGTCGCAAGTTTGGCGGCCATAGCTTGAACGGTTTTGAAGTTATTCAACTTTTTAAAGGAGGGGGCCTCGGAAGATCCTCGGTGTGAATACGGTTAACCTCTGCCTGAATCTGAATTCCTTTCTGATTTGTTTAAAATCTTAATCTTAGTGTTCGATTTACATGGTACAGTTAAATTTAGAGAACGGACCGACATAAAAATTAAGGTTTACATCACATATTGCCCTAAGTTGATGATCTTGAGTTATGTTAGAACAAGTTCCATTTGGCTTTTGTCAGTGATTGACAGCGAAAAAAAATTTTGGATGAATCTGTTGCACTCTCTAAGTCATTTCTGAATAAATAAATGCTCTGTTACTGAGCAGTCTTTCAGTTTGTTTTTTTCTGTTATATTCCCTTATTCGCTGGTCAAGGTGTTTGTTCGAAACTCAGTCAAAGTGGTCACATTAGGGCGTCGCTGTTGTAACACATTACACCTCAGGAGTCTTTGAAATACACTTTTGAGGTTTCCGCCTAAGTACCCGTATAACAAGGGATCCAATGCCGCGTTTAAGCATATCAGAAGTTGAGATCCTCTCCAAATAAAACCATACGAAGTTAAGTGAAAATAGAGAAGTGTTCGTGTGACCATAAAAGGAGACCAGCAGATGACAAACGCTGCGGTTAGTGCTGCGAGTGTTTTAGCAACTTTCTTATGTCGTCGATCAGATCTGTCCATAAAAGTATTGTTAATTACCCCAACCCTTGAATGAAGAGCGCGTCGAATCTGAGCTTGAGTAAAAAACATATACAACAAAGGAATGATGAAGAACAGTGTTGCATGCAAACTGTAGAATATTTGTCGGCCAATATTCCCCCATGTGGTATTATCACAAATTAATTCACCGTTTTCTTGTGTTTCCACGCGATAGATGTGAACCAAAGGCGAACAAACAGCTAGGCAAAGGACCCAGATTGCGATAATTTTCAAAAATTCTTTTCGTGGCCAGCTATTGATTCTTGCATTAAAAGGATCAATAACAGCTTTCAGTCTTTGAAAGCTTAACAACGCAAGCGTTGTTATTGAAACTGTGTAGGTTGCTTCCACGAGAAATCCCTGAAGTTTACAGGTAACGTCACCTCCTATCCAACGCCAATAAAAACTCACAAGATCAAAAATAGTGAGAAGAGTAAACAAGAGATCGGCAGAAGCTAGATTTGCCAAGAACCACATCACAGGGGAATGTGTTCTCCGCAGGGTGACATAGCAGGTTGTTAGAACCCATACATTTCCAACGACTGACATGATGAAAACAGTACTATAAAATGTAGTGAGAAAAACCAACACAGAAAGCGTGAACGAACTGCTGTTAACCATTGTTAAGATGTGTAACAGAAGTGTTTTACCATTGATTAATTTTAACTGGTGTTTGCTCTTATTCGCTAAGGAGGACGGGTAATGAAGCTCCAACACGTAGCTCCAATAAGCTTACTTCCTGTTACCGGGGTACATGGTGACTCGTGAATTTTGTAAACTGCGAGAAAAAACATTCTTAAATACTTTCCTCGATTTCAACTTTGTCTCTTAAATTTTGGTCTCTGTACATAATTCCTAACGTGTTTTTCTCCCTTTTATGTTATTTGCATTTTATGTTGTGTCTGATTTATCATTTCCTGTCATCTTGTGGGTCACGATCAGCTTTTGAACATTAAATTAACTTGTCATTTTTTATTGTTTTCCTTTTGTTTCCGCGCTTGCCTAACATTTTATCGATCCATGGCCATAAAATGAACGCTAATCGTCGGACAATTACAGACTGTTCTGGAAGAAAATTTAATAATTTTTATATCTTCGTTAGGTAAAGCTCCATAATTTGTTTTGTTCTTAGAAGATCGAAAGAAACAACCAATGGCGTTGTCATTCTAAATCCCATTTTCGTTGTTAAAGCAGTTGTTTTTTATAATAGCTTTTACTACGTGACATGAATCCATTCATGTGCAAATTTTAACACAGTTGTTCACTATAGAGGAAGCAAATCGGATGAAGTCCCATGGAAAAAAAATGATAACATAATCCTTCTTTTCGTAATTCACTTAGTAGGCATCTAGCTGATTCCAACATCGTTTAATCGCTAATAGTTGGAAAACTGCAAACTGTTCTGGAAATCATCATGATCAGAATTTCCTCATTGTTTGGCTCCCAAACAGTCAAGCGAAACAACTGCCGTGTTTACGATCTATGCAACACCATATTCAAGGACCTCAAATCACGACATAACAATGTTATCGTATTTTTTCCTACGATGCATTTATAAGGGCTGTAAATTTATAAGGGCTGTAAAGCTTACTCTGAATCAAAGCATTCATGTGCAGATCGTTTGGAGGTGTTAACTGGAAGGAAAAAATCGGGATTATTATCTATAATTTAAATCCTATTTCGCTCTCCCTATTTTTTCCCAATTTCTTTTTTTAGTTGGGGGGGGGGGGGGGGGGTGGAAACCTGTGTTGAGTTTTGGACGGTTGATCCTATACTTTTCAGACTTTTTTGACTTTATTTTAATCATGTTTAATAACTTGTTTGATCTTTATTTTTCCTTTCTTGATAAGATACCAACAATTTAAATTTCCTTTTATTCTCGTCTTGTATAGCTCTTATTGGAATCTTTTTAACCAATGTTATATTTTTAAGTGGTTTGTATCATTCTTAAATAAAAAAAATTCTGATGTAGGATGTTTTGTGGGGTGAAAGAGAAAAAAAAAAATAGGTTTTTTTTATTTATTTTTAATCTTGTTTCTCGCCCCCTTTTTTTTTTCTATTTTTTTTTTTGTGGGGGGGGGGGGGGGGGGGGGGTGGAAACCTGTTGTGAGTTTTGGACAGCTGATCCTATACTTTTCAGACTTTGTTGACTTTATTTTAATCATGCTTAATAACTTGATTGATCTTTATTTTTCCTTTCATGATAAGATACCAACAATTTGAATTTCCATTTAGTCTCGTCTTCGATAGCTCATATTGGAATCTATTTAACCCAAATTATTATGCGCAAAATTTTTATTAAGTAGTTGTTATTTGTTGTTCGGGCAACGAGTATACGAGTTCTGCTAATTAAAATCATTTATCTGCACTATTCCGGTAAAGCGAAACAGAAGTCTGAATCTAATTCAGTCTCAAATTCATCAATAATTCATACTAGGAAATACAAAGAAATTTATGTTTAAAAAAGTGTTGGAAATCAGATAAAAAAAAATTCTCTAGTTTTGTATCCTTCTAAAATAATTTTGTTTGAGGAGCTATATCGTACATTCGACATATATATATTTCAGCAAAAATATCACACAATTTGTCATTCGTTTAACGGATGTAATCGGATTGTCTTAGAATGTTAACATCACTATACTGATACGGACTCCTCTTGTCGACTGCATGTGCTCTAAGCCTTACTTCAATTTTTGACGTAAAAAATTTTTCGGATGGTTCGTACAGAAGACGCTATAAGTTTAATTCTAGGCCCAAAGTTCCCACTATTTCTTGCAACCAATGACCGGGGTTCAACAGACTAACGTTTTTGTTTTATTAATGTACAGACGAGCGAGTAGTTTTGCTTTTTTCACCAACCGTTTCCACTGACACGGTCCATGAATGAGGGCATTCTGTCCTGCCCGATGGAAGGGTGCCCCTGAGGCTGTCAAACCCTGACCCTGTTTACTGGACAATGCAAGTTCATTCTGCTAGCCTTTACTATCATTTTACTATTATCCTGTTTTATTTCAGTTACGAATTATATATACAGCATTAAATGAGTTAAACTAACATCTTGGAGTTAGTTTTGGTAACACAAATGTAGAGCACTTATCGCCAACCTTCTCACCCGGGGTCTTTTAATGGCTTCCGTTCCAAACTGTGACACTTAAAAAATTGGCTAAATCACAGTGTGCACCCTGTTAAATACTGAAAGGCCCTGAAAAACCTGCTCAGTGGTACATATACACCTGTATCTGTCTAGGCTAAATAAGAAAGTGGCCCACGATGCTAGCCTGCGTCACAGAAGGCCCATTCAGGTCCAATACTGTCGTCTTGATACCAGTGGAAAAATACTTTTCACAACTTGTACGAACTCAGTCCCAACTTCTGGTTTAGTGCATCTGCGAAACAGCGCCAAAACTTTCCTTGTTGTGGGTCCCCACCTGTCTACCAGGATTTGAGTACGCGCCATGATTGGCCCGTTAGAAAAGCATTTGTCGATTTGCCAATCAGGTAAAAGGGAAATTCAAAGGAAGAATTCCCGTTAATTCACTGATTCCTTTAGGAGCTCAGAACAAAGGCCTCGCTGCTTCGCAGATGTTACCACCCGCGGTAAGATTATTGCATCTGCGACGCAGGCTACCCGATGCCTTCCTTAGTTTGATGATACTGTCTGATGTCCTGTTCTTTTTTCTTTTAGTATTTTATACTTTTGCTTTATTTTTAAGTTCTTCTCATAGAGAGTCAACTTAAAGAAGTAAAGAAAGGCAGGGAAGATGAAATGTCTCGGCCCGTCTGATACACCTATATTATCACAGCACTAGGTGATAAATGTTAAACACCCATAAATTCTGCTCCAAAAAAGTAAAGGGTTAACAGTCATTTTCAACATCATTAGTCAAGTCACAATCGTCTTGATGAGCACATGGTAATTTTTATCTTTTTATCTAGTTAAATTCTTCTCTAAGCTGATTTCCTTTCTGATTTGTTTAAAATTTAATACATAGTGTTGGGCTACTTAGTACAAGACTAAATTCAGCGAATAGACCGACATAAAAAATTAAGGTTCACATAGTTCCAATTTGGTGATCTTGCCGTTATGTTAGAACGCGCACGTTCTTTTATCATAAGCTTTTAACAGTGATTGTCAGCGTAAAATATTTTAATTATAAATGGATCTTCTACACTCCCTCAGTCGTTTTTGAATAATGCTCTTTTACTGAGCAGTCTTTCAGTTCGTTTGTCTTTGTTATATTCCATTGTTCGCCGTTCAAGGTCTTTGTTGGAATACAGTCAAAGGCGTCACATTAGGGCGTCGCCGTTGCAAGCAATTACACCCCAGGAGTCTTGTTTGTAATACACTTTTGAGGTTTCCGCCAAAGTACCCGTATAACAAGGGATCCAATGCCACGTTTAGGCAGATCAAGAGTTGAGATCCTCTCCAAATAAAACCATATGGAGCTAAGTGAAAGTAGATAAGCGTTCGTGTGACCATAAAAGGGGACTGGCAGATAGCAAACGCTGCGGTTAACGCTGCCAGTGTTTTGGCAACTTTCCTGTGTCTTCGATTAGATCTCTCAATAAAATTGTTGTTAATTACCCCAGATCTTGAACGAAGAGCGCGAAAAATCTGAGTTTGAGAAAAAATCATATACGACAAAGGAATGATGAAGTACAGAATTGCATGCAGACCGTAGAATATTTGTCGGCCAATTCTTCCCCATGTGGTATTAGTACAAAGCAATTCACCGTTTTCTTGTGTTTCCACGCGATAAATGTGAACCAAAGGTGAACAGACCGCCAAGGAAAGGACCCAGATTTTGACAGTTTTTAGAAATTCTTTTCGTGGCCAGCTATTAATTCGTGCATTAAAAGGATCAACAACAGCCTTCAGTCTCTGATAGCTTAACACCAGAAGCGTTGTAATTGAAACGGTGTAAGTTGCTTCGACGAGAAAGCCATGAAGTTTACAGGTAACGTCACCGCCTATCCAACGCCAATAAAAGCCTATAGCATTTAAAATGGTGAGAAAAGTAAACAAGAGATCGGCAGAAGCTAGATTTGCCAAGAACCACATCATAGGAGAATGTGTTCTCCGCAGGGTCACATAGCAGGTTGTTAGAACCCATGTATTACCAACGACTGACATGATGAAAACAGCGCTATAAAATATGCCGAAGAAAACAACCAGAGAAAACGAGAAGGAAGTGCTATTAACCATAGTTGAGATTGTTCAAATCGGCGTTTTGGCATCGAATAATTTGAACGTATTTTATCCTAGGGTGGCACGGTTAATGAAGCTCCAATGGGTTACTACTCCGTCATTGGTGATTCGTGAAGAACTGCACAGAGAAAACTGAAAAACTGAGCCTTAAATAATTCGCTCGATTTCAATATTGTCTTTAAAAATTTTTCTTTCTGTGCGTAGAAGGTTTTTTTCTTTTTCTTCTTCTGTTAATGGCATTTTATGTTACGTTCAATCTCATATCATTTCCTGTCATCACCTCGTTCAGCTTTTGAACTTTAAATTAACTTGTCATCTGTGATTATTTAATCGGTTCCTTTTGTTCTCCACTGTTGCCAAACTTTTTATTGATCCATGGCTTTAAAATTAATAGATGCTAATCGTTGGAAAATTAAAGATTGTTCTGGAAGAAACTTTAAACATCATTAATCTTCACTACGATAACGTTCGATATTTCTTTCTTTTGCTCGATCGAAGAAAACAACCATTGGTGTTTTCAGTCTAAATGCCCATTTTCAAGAACCTAAATTGTCATGACATAACACTAATATTTTTTCTTAATAGACGTCATGCATTTATGGGTTGAAAAGCTTTTACTAAGGGCGCTTTCCATTTGTCAGGACTGACCGGCCAGACCATTCCCGTAGTAATGATAATTTTACTTTTAATCAAAACTATCTAACCAGATCCGTCAAATCCTAAATTTTATGCACGAAAGAGATGGTTTTGCAGCAGAAGCTGTTGGAAAAAGCCTATTTCATTGTCAAAATGCTGCTCCAGCCATGGTCTGGCCAGCCAGTTCTGACTTCAGTTTGGAAAGCGCCCTTAGAATCCATTCATGTGCAAATTTAGTACAGGTGTTTACTAGTGGAAGAAAATCGGATTACTAGTCCCATGAAAAATATTAATCCTTCTTTTCGTAATTCACTTAGTAGGCACTGGTCTATGACTGGGTCTATAGCTGATTCCAAGTCAGAGTGATCTTTAAAAGGCAATAATTGGAAAATTGAAAACAGTCCTGGAAATCTTCATGATCAGGCTTGAAATTTCCCCATTATATTTTGTTCCCAAACAGTCAAGAGAAACAATCTAAATCACCATTTTCATGCCAGACCCAATCATGACATAACAATCTTGTATTAATTTTTTTCCTCACACAAGATGCATTTATTTAGGGACGCAAAGCTCAGTCTGAATCGATGCATTCATGTGCTCATCGTTTGTAGGTGTTAATAAAATGAAGAGACCAAATGAAACCAAAAAAGACCCCGACCTCTCTGTCTTTTTTTCCTCAATTTACAAATTTAGCGCCCCTGCATGAGAGATAATTTTTGGACAGCTGATCCCACATCTTTATCGTTTTTTTGATTTTCTTTCAAATGGTTTATACGTAATTGCGCGCTCTCTTTTTGCCTCAAGGATCAGATATTATTAATAATAACCTCTTGAATTTTCTATTTTCTTCATTGTCGCTCTTAGCTCAAAGCAGTACAGTAAACCTGGCAGTAGCTCAAACGCTGAAGGGAAACGGAAAATAATTCGAATTAGCGGGGTATTCGAGTTACTCGAGTTCTAGTTATCGAGGTTCTACTGTAATACATTTTAACCATTTTTGCGCCTGTAATTTCTTGTTTGTACGATGAGTACACTAGATTTGTTAAATCTTTCTTCGTGTAGTAATTATCGCTGAGGCGAAAACAAAAGTTTGACTCCAGCTTCTCATGAATTCCTCAATAATTCATACCGTTTTGTCCAATAATCTAATACAAAAGAAATTACAGTCGAAGCTATCTTCGTGACCGCTCCTCGTAAGCAACCGCAGCTCTAGTTACGAACATTCATTGTGGAACTCCATTTGAACTGTGACTTAACCTTTGTAATGAAAGCGCGCGTAACCAGTGACCGCTCCCGTAAGCAAACGCGACCACTTTTTGGACTACCCGACTGAACTTTTCCTTTGTTTTTTAGCTCTCGTCAGCGGCTACCCAGATTCGATGCATCGGGACTTTGAGTTTATTAAACGGCTTCAAAAACCTCTGATGTAGATCAACTCATTCTAATGCACTCTTGATACTCAGTTAGATATATATGGGGTTATTCGATCTAGTCTAAAAAAATGGACGTAAAGTTTAGCCGTGTTGTTTGTATCAGATAAAAAGACACTCATTAGATATTAAGACGGGATCCACCAGGAAATTGAGTAATTTTGATTTTCAGTGGACAAGAAACCGTGTACCAGAATAATTTAAAGAATATTTCATTCTTTTTCACATTTATGTAATTTGTCATCTGTAATAACACCATAGAAAATTTCTCATGGGAGGCCGAGAAAATGAATGTCAAAGTTCACAAGAATTGTGAAAACACAGGTAAAATTCTAAAAATTTTATGTGTAAGATGTCATTTTGTGAAATTTGAAATTGTAACCATGCGGTCGCTTACTAAAGCTCATTCTCGTAAGCGACCAGCTTTAGTTACGACCACTTTTTCGAATTTCTGAGGTGGTCGCTTACGAGTGCTTCGACTGTATAATGTTTAATGAGTGTTGGAAATCAGATAAAAACCACATATTAATATTTATCCCTTCTAAACTCATTTCAGAGAAGGAATATTCTACATTCGCAGTATTTCAAGACAATATCTAGTCTGCTACACAGCCGTTTTTAGTGTCGTCACGCAACGCTCCTCACCACTAACGGCTGCTGAAAATCGAACCACATTCCTTTCCCTTCATGTTTGTGGTCTAACGAACAAACCAATCATGTATAAGAAACTTGACAATACGTGAGCCGCGGGGCGCTAGGAGCGAACACGCTTCTCAGTTTTCGACAAATCAATCAATCGTCGCTGAATTTTGATGAGCTGTGTCTGCAAGCAACGAAAAGGTTGTTTGCAGAAAAGTTAACAAAATTCCAAGTGATAAAAAAAAAATGTTTGATAGGCCTACTAGACTCTTACCAGGGGGGGGTTGGTTCTTTTTGACGTGCATTTGTATGATGAATTTCATGTGCCGGATGTGCTCATTGTGTTGTTGTACATGTAAAGACTGTGAAGACTAAACTCTCAGGGGGTACTGACTCAAACAAAAGCAATCTTATAAATTATCGACAAGCGATTTCCCGAAACTATACCCGGCAACTTTATAAGCATATCCATGTTGTGCGTCATATTTGCTCGACTTGCTCGCTGTTGCTGCTTGTCTCAAAAATTTTGAAAGGACTCGACTACAACAACACTACTCTAGTTGATTGCTTGCTTTCACGCGACGATTTTGATTTCTCTGTCGCTGACACATTGGGCAACGATAAAAGCAAAGCTGTGATTAGAAGAGCCACAATACCCCAAACGTGGCGCGAACACCTTCCAGAAAATGGGAGCTGAATTCTAATTGGCTAATCGCGGGAAAGGAATGTGGTTCGATTTTCAGCAGCCGTTAGTGGGGAGGACGACACTAAAAACGGCTGTGTAGCAGACCAGGCAATATCAAACTCGTCGTCATTTGTCACAAGTACTTCGCTGAACGGAAGTGTTAAGATTGCCTTAGAATGTCAAACTGGCTAATACCAGCTGGAAGCCTTACCTCAGGGTTGAAGGTAAAAAAAAAAAAAAAACTTCGGATGTTCACTAGTTTTACAGTCAGACGCGATTAGATAAAGTCTAGGCCCAAACTGCTCAAATTATTTTGGTGTCCAATAAGTTATACAGAGAAGCTTATTTTAAATTTATATTAAGGTAAAAAGTAGTGCGGCGTTCAGAGTGTTCCTAGGGACACAGTCCATGAATAAGGGCTTTCTGCTTCCCGGGAGGGTACTCAAGGGAAGTTTGGGTAGATGTGTGCAGCTGATGCCTTTAAATCTTCAAGCCCCAAGATCAAGATACAAATTCTCCTCTCTGGCCTTCATAAATTTCTTGACTGAAAAATTGGTTGAGAGAATTTGTTGAAAGATCAAAGCATATTTAACAATTAATGAATGAGGCTGAGTATCTTATGAAGAATTATGGAGATCTCGGAGGGTGTTATACGAAAACCGAATTCAATAATTGTTTTATCATTCATTCAAAATAATTCCTAGTTTAAAAACATGGCTAAAACATGCTCTATCAGCAATCCTTGTTCCAAAAAAATGGGAAATACTGTGCAACGTAAAAACGCACCGATCCACGGAGAACCCTTGGAAGCTGTTGATCACCAAAAATACCTTGGAGTTGAGATATCCCGTGATCTAAATCGCTGGAATTATAGGCAAAGCCAACAGATCTTTTGGCTTTATAAGAAAAAACTTAAGTAAATGTCCAGAAAACGTAAAACAGCAAGCCTATCTTGCTTTAGTTAGACCACAGCTTGAATATATGGATGTTGCGCATTGGATCCTCACATTCAAAAACAGATAAAGGACATTGAGAGTACGCAGAGACGAGCGGCACGTTTTGTGAAAGATGAATATTGCACAACTCCTGGAACTATTACGAAAATTTGAATGATTTGAAATTGCGAACACCCGAGAAGTTTCTTAAGGCTTATCATTTGCATGTGGTTCTGATCGTAATCCGTTAAAAAAGGAACAAATATGTAAATCATTATACTTCACAGGTGTTTTCAATACATTAGATTCTCATTATTTTTTTACGAGAACCAAAATAGAATAATGAGTCATCTATATTCACCCATGCGCAAATAACCCCTAAACGATTTTTGAAATTTCTTAACGGCATCATAGTTTCGAGCTAGTATCTACTGAACGATCATGGATCGCTTGTGTTTAACGATACCTGATGAAAGTTACGGCTGCTAAAACTGTTCCTTCTATTGCAAGGTGGTATAACATAAGAACTGTACCAAAAACACAGTGAAGAAATTCAACTCGCGAATCAATATGAAACAGATTTGAAATTGTAAGTGTTACAGCTATTGCTATATCTATTGCCCTTCTCTTGTCTGGACGAATTGCAAAAGAGCTGCGAATTGCACACTATTT